GGATGGTGGGAGGGATGAGTGGGAGGGATGGGTGGGAGGGGGGATGAGTGGGAGGGGATGAGTGGGAGGGGATGGGTGGGAGGGGGATGAGTGGGAGGGGATGGTGGAGAGTGGGAGGGGATGGTGGGGGATGAGTGGGAGGGGGGAGGGATGAGTGGGAGGGGATGAGTGGGAGGGGATGAGTGGGAGGGGGGGGGGGGATGAGTGGGGGGGATGGGTGGGAGGGGATGGGGAGGGGATGAGTGGGAGGGGATGGGTGGGAGGGGGGGGGGGGGGGGGGGGGGGGGGGGGGGGGGGGATGAGTGGGAGGGGATGAGTGGGAGGGATGGGGAGGGGATGAGTGGGGAGGGGGGGGGATGAGTGGGAGGGGATGAGTGGGAGGGGATGGGTGGGAGGGGATGAGTGGGAGGGGAATGGTGGGAGGGTGGGGGGGATGGTGGGAGGGGATGAGTGGAATGGAGGGGGATGGGTGGGAGGGATGAGTGGGAGGGGATGAGTGGGAGGGGATGGTGGGAGGGGATGAGTGGGGATAGTGGGAGGGTGGGGGGGGATGAGTGGGGGGATGAGTGGAGGGTGAGTGGGGGATGGTGGGAGGGATGATGGGGGGGATGAGTGGGAGGGGGATGGGTGGGAGGGGATGAGTGGGAGGGATGAGTGGGAGGGGATGGTGGGAGGGATGAGTGGGAGGGGATGAGTGGGAGGATGGGGGGGGGATGATGGGGAGGGGGATGGGTGGGAGGGGATGAGTGGAGGGGATGGGTGGGGGGGAGGGGAGGGGATGAGTGGGAGGGGATGGTGGGAGGGATGAGTGGGAGGGGATGGTGGGAGGGGATGAGTGGGAGGGATGGGTGGGAGGGGATGTGAGGGATGAGTGGAGGGGATGAGTGGGAGGGGATGGGGGGGGGATGAATGGGAGGGGATGAGTGGGAGGGGATGGGTGGGAGGGGATGAGTGGGAGGGGATGAGTGGGAGGGGATGGGTGGGAGGGGATGGGTGGAGGGGATGAGTGGAAGGGGATGAGTGGGAGGGGATGGGTGGGAGGGGATGAGTGGGAGGGGATGAGTGGGAGGGATGGGTGGGAGGGGATGGGTGGGAGGGGATGAGTGGGAGGGGATGAGTGGGAGGGGATGAGTGGGAGGGGATGGGTGGGAGGGGATGCTTGGGAGGGGATGAGTGGGAGGGGATGAGTGGGAGGGGATGAGTGGGAGGGATGGGTGGGAGGGGATGAATGGGAGGGGATGAGTGGGAGGGGATGGGTGGGAGGGGATGAGTGGAGGGGATGGTGGGAGGGGAGGGGGGAGGGATGAGGGGGAGGGGATGAGTGGGAGGGGATGAGTGGGAGGGGATGAGTGGGAGGGGATGAGTGGGAGGGGATGAGTGGGAGGGGATGAGTGGGAGGGGATGCGTGGGAGGGGATGAGTGGCAGGGGATGAGTGGGAGGGATGGGAGGGGATGGGTGGGAGGGGATGGGTGGAAGGGGATGGGTGGGACGGGATGGGTGGGAGGGGATGAGTGGAAGGGGATGGGTGGGAGGGGATGGGTGGGAGGGGATGAGTGGGAGGGGATGGGTGGGAGGGGATGAGTGGGAGGGGATGGTTGGGAGGCGATGGGTGGGGAGGGATGAGTGTGAGGGGATGAGTGGGAGGGGATGAGTGGGAGGGGATGAGTGGGAGGGATGAGTGGGAGGGGATGAGTGGGAGGGGATGAGTGGGAGGGGATGCGTGGGAGGGATGAGTGGGAGGGGATGAGTGGGAGGGGATGGGAGGGATGGGTGGGAGGGGATGGGTGGAAGGGGATGGGTGGGACGGGATGGGTGGGAGGGGATGAGTGGAAGGGGATGGGTGGGAGGGGATGGGTGGGATGGGATGGTGGGAGGGGATGGGTGGGAGGGGATGAGTGGGAGGGGATGGTTGGGAGGCGATGGGTGGGAGGGGATGAGTGTGAGGGGATGAGTGGGAGGGGATGAGTGGGAGGGGATGTGTGGGAGGGGATGGGTGGGAGGGGAGGGGAGGGGTAAGAGAGGGGTAAGGGGAGGGGTGAAGGGGAGGGGTGAAGGGGAGGGGTAAGAGAGGGGTAAGGGGAGCGGTGAGAGCCATTTTCGAAAATACACAAACATATCATATCCACTGCTCACCATTAAAATTCTAACAAGCAACCAGCGCGAAGCTCCCATTTGGTCACTGCGCACACAAGTGAACTGCACGTAGCTAATGAGGTCCAGCGAGCAATGATATAATCAACCAGAGGCCGCTTTCCCATCACTGCCAGCCTGAAAGCAAGAAACCCATACGTGAGGGATGGATCAGCGGTGAGGGAATGCAGCACGCATTGAGTTGGGGGGGGGGAGGGGGGGGGGGGGGGTTCAGAGAGGACTTGGCAGGAAACTTTGATCGAGATTGGAGGCGAGAGGGAGTGGGCAGGGGGAGAGAGTGGGAGAGCGAGGGGAGACCAAGGGGGTGGAAAAAAGGAAGGGGGGGAAGCTGGGGGGGGGAGGGAAAGGGGTTGGGGGAGAGGGGGAGAGATGAGGAGAGGATTGTTTACAAGCGAGCACGGAAGGAACTCGGGAGGAGACTTGGATCGAAAGCGTGAGCGAGGCTGGAGGGGTGAGGGAGAGCAAAAAGAGCAAGACAGGGAGGGAGGATAGTAACTACAGGAGTGCGAGCACGCTCGGGAGACTCAGCAGGAGCCTTGGATTGAGAGCGGGAACAAGAGGGAGTGGGTGGTGAAGGGGGAGGGAAAGAGCAGGAGAGCGCGAGAAGGGGGAAGGGGAGGGGGGAAGGGGAAAGGGAAGGGGGAAAGGGGGAGGGAAGGAGAAAGGGGAGGGGGAAAAGGCGGGAGACGAGCGGTGAGGGGAGCGAACAGTAGAGCGAGCATGCTCAGGAGACTTGGCAGGAGAGCGGGAGCAAAAGGGGGACTTAGATCCGCTCTTCTTGGGCTGCAAGGGGGGGTCGGTGAGAGGAATGGTAGTGGGAGGAGGGGTAGTGAGAGGAGGGGTGGTGAGAGGAGGGGTGGTGAGAGGAGGGGAACAGGGAACAGAATTCTGGTGTTAATGTGGGAGCGAGACTTGGTCTTGGAGGGAGAGCAAGAGCGTGGACTGGAAGCAGAGCACGCGCGAGAGAGAGCGGGAGCTAGAGTGGGACATTATACACCTTGAGTGGCAAACCACGTACCGATCGAGAGCGCGAGCGAGACTTGGACTTGGAGCGGGATCGGGAGCGCGAACCAGAGGCGGAGAGCGAGCGGAAGCGAGACCGTGAACGGGACCGCTCGCGGCGATGCGGTGACATGCTGTGATCGCGACCGGTCTTGCTCTCCTCACGCACCTGACGAGGCAAGGAATGAGGTCATGCGCAGAGGCAGGGGCAGGAGCAAAGAGGCGGAGAATGGTTGGACTGGAAGCAAATCTTTCAAGGAAAGTGGACGCAGTGACCTGCTGCGATTGCCACCAGTCTTGCTCTACTCACACACCTGAAGGGACAGAGAGCATGGGGAGAAGGGAGAGCGGCAGCATTAGAGCAGGCCTGGGAAGAAAGAGGAGCAAGGGAGGAGGCCGACGCGGTTACCAGCTGCGATCGCGGCCAGCCTTGCTCATCTCACACACCTGAAGGGATGGACAGGGGAGGCCAAGAGGCAAGAGAGGGGGGAGGGGAGGGGGCAGGAGAAACAGAGGTAGAGGGGATAAGAAAGCAATCTCGTGAAAGAGAGGATGAGGTGAGCTGCTGCAATCACGACCGGCGTCCTCTCCTCATACCACAGGCGAGTCCACATGGCAGGAGAAGGTGGGGCAGGAGAGGAGGCAGGAGAGGGGGCAGGAAAGGGGCAGGAAACAATGGGAGAAACAATGGGAGGAAACAACGGCAGGAAAGGGGCCAACGAAAGGGCAGATGCAGGGGTAAAAGAAAGAGGATGCGCGAAGGCCGAAATGGGCGGAGGTTGGGCACAGGAGGTTTGCGACGGGACAGAGGTTCGGAATTGGATGGATGTTCGGGAATGGATGGAGGTCCGGGACTTACTCGAATGTAGCAACCACATGAAAAAGGGTTTTTGAACTCCGAATCGTCTAGCTTGCGGACCTGATGGGAGAAAAAAGGGGGGGTGGCGGGGAGGGAGAAAGAGATGCGTGGGAGGGGATGGGTGGGAGGGGATGAAAGGGAGGGGATAGGAGAAGGGTAGAGAGGGAGAAGCATGGGCGCATTGAAGGGGGGCGGAGATACAGCTAGGATCAAGACAAACGCGAGCAGAGAATTGTCCTTACTCACTCATAAACCCTGCTTCTCACCCCTGCTGCTCACCCCATGACTCACCGCATACTTCATGTCCTCCTCGTTGCTGTACATCATGCCTGGAGGGAGGGGTGAGAGAGGGGTAAGGGGAGGGGTGAGGACAAACAGTGAAGTGAGACAGAACAAGCAGCCTACTTCGTGTTCTCCTCCTGTGCCCATGCCACGCCATGCGTGCATGCCATAGTACGGGCCTCAAGCATCCACGTACGCACCCACCACCACCTACCAGCACCTACCAGCACCTACCAGCACCTACCACCCCCTACCACCACCTACGAACATGGCTGTGATGCAACAGAAACGCACCGTCTCTTCCACGATCCACCCACCTGCCGTTGCTCTCCTTGAAGAGCGGCGCCAATCACACGTCGCCAGCATGCTTACCGCGATCCTGCAGGGCGTTTCTTAGGATTCTCAAAAACACCCTGAAGACCTGCGCGAAGCGCACATCGCCAGCACGCCTAACACCATATGCGTGCACGCTATTTGTCCACGCCATGCCACGCCACGCCACGCCACACCACGCCACGCACGCCACGCCACGCCACGCCATGCCACGCCACGCCACGCCACGCCATGCCACGCCACGCCACGCCACGCCATGAAACACCATGCCACGTCACGCCACGCCATGCCACGCCACACCGTGCCATGCCATGCGTCCATGCCACACCTATCACATCCCTCCACCATCCCCACCTACGGTTGTTCTCCTTGAAGACCTGCGCAAAGCACACGTCGCCCGCATGCCGCATGTGGTCCTGAGAGTCTGGTGAGCAGACAGAGAGGAAGGGAAGGGAGATGCAACGTGGGGAGGGGGTGAGAGGAAGAAGCGCAAAGTGGGGCTGGAGGGGCATTGCACGGATGGGAAAAGGAGAGAAACAGCGCACCGCGGTACTATTTTTGAGGCGCCTCAAAAATAGACTCCTCACGCATGGTTTATTCATAGAGAGGTTTTTTGTTGCTTGGAAGATTGGGTGTAGCTTATCGAAGCGTTTGGTGCGCGCGCGGCTTCCGAGGCTGTCTGCTCGCGAGAATTCGAATTCAACTCATTCTCAAGACACCCTCGAGATTTGAAGACGTGGCCCCTTGGTTTT